TCTAAGTCCACACACCAAGTTCCTCTCTTCTCCCTCAGGTTCCCTATGACCTTTCTATTTATACACTTAAAAAGTAAACTGAAAATAAGAACAGAAAAATAAAGCATCTCAGCCTTTAACCACTATAAACTCTGCACTGTAAGATCACTTTCAAGTTTGTTTTTAAATAATATACCTACACTCTGACCAAACAGCTTAAGGCACAAAATGCTGCCGTCTTCATTCCCCTTTTAGGTGGCTTTTTTCCTTCTGAGACTCCAGCTGAGAGGACTGCTCTACTTGTTTTACATTATACCCCACAGAACAGACACGAGGGCAGATGATGATGAGCCACTGCTTGTTTTCATTATTCACGCTCACACTGTACCCTGACAACTGCAGCAAAGGCTCACACACGACAAACAGATCAGTGGCAGGCCTTGGGAATATTAACCAGTTAACTTTGTTAGCTGGCTTGAAACAAACCTAGCAGTGAAAAACACAACCCTATGTGCATTAGTGATATTTCTTAAACCTGGTAACACTTTGAAGCTTCACCCTCATTTCCAAAAAACCCTTTTCCTGCACAGTGATAAGAAATAAAGCCTTCTCAGCCTTGCACAGCTGACCTAAATTCAGTGCATCCCCAAAACCCCATTGGTGAGGAAGCTGCCAGTTCTGCAGGATTCAGATAATGAAATATTCAGATAACCAAAGATAACACTGCCTAAAAGAAAATAAGTACAACAAGAGATGATTACCTTATTTAAATGTTGACATAAAATTACAACTCTGATCAGAATAATACCAAATATTTGTTCAATTTCCTGTAGAACTCCAGAGAAACACAAGTATTTCACATTTGGTCCCACCTTTACTCATTAAACACTCAGGCTTTCCAAAACTTAAAAGAAATCTTTATATGTTTTGGTATAAAATGGCTTCAGATGAAGTAGCTTTAACTAACACTAAAGATACTCAAAGGAAAAACATTCTTGTATTACAGACTCATCACTACCTGCCTTATTTTCTCCCCAAATGGAAGCATCATGCACACACAACCACACTGAGGAATTTCCTTAATTCAGAAACGCATCCTGTATCAAGCCAATAGAAAGCTAACAGTCTTTGTGTTGCTGTTCCTCCTCTGCACACACAGCCTGCTTACAACAGTTGCACAGCTTAGTTGCACAGATGCACTTTCCTGGCACTTCACAAACACGCTCTAATTAGTTACCTGATAAATCATTTGCACTGTGCAAGTAATTCAGAGAGGGGAGGCACGTCCTGAACTGCACACGTTCACACTACGGGCACTGCTGGGCTCAGGTGTGCACATAAGAATGAAGTATTTTGCAGCCAAGGCAAAGCTCAGCGCTGTGCAAGTCTTCAAAGCTAATCCATACACAGCAGCCACGCTGTGACCATCCAGGCTACTTTATGTCACAACCAGGCTGCACATTAAGCCCAACATTTTCTCCACTATAGACTCAATCTAGAATCGCAGCTACTTCAGAGCAAAAAGAACCACAGGCCCATGAATAGGATATTTTCAATGGAACATAACAGGGTGCTGCGATGAAAGAAATACTCTGCTGGGTTTGGGACCTGTTAGGTCAGCAGTGATGATGTACTTTATGTTTAGTACAAACTAGAAAACTTAGGAAAGACTTCATAAAAGACTAATCAGCTACAAACCACAACTCAGAGTCATTAAAGGCCTTTCATAATGTTCTTTTGAACACAAAGCAATCAAAAGAAACCCCTCATACCTGTTGCTCTTCAACCTCAGCAGCAAACATGTAAGTTCCACACTCTAGCACTGTGCTACCTTTATAGAAATCTGTATAGAAATTAAAAGAATACAAAGCTTCCAAGTACTTTAAATAAAAAAAATAACAACATACACATCAGTGCTATTGCTACTCCACCCAGAACAACTTACAAGCAGTTTGCTCGAGATTCTAAACCTCAAGAAACCAGCACAGGCATCTAAACCACCTTGGATGGGTTCTTGGCTTCAAAAAGCACTCTGCTTTAGTAACAAAGTAAGGCTTATTTACTTCAATAGAGAAACTGTTTCTGTTTGCAGGAAAGAATACATAGAAGTGAAACAGGATTTTATTTTTTTTTTTCATACTATGGAATTTATTGTGTGTTTATCACATTCAAAAAGCATTGACCAGTTGTTTGGTTTGATTTGGGTTTTTCTGGTAGCTGTTAGAAGCTCAAGGAAGAGCTGACACAACTGGAAGCTTAACTAGCACCTAACAGAGCTCAGCAGATACTTGGGAGGAAATGCTAACAGCCGTGTACTCAACACTTTGGACTTCAAATAGTTCTGTGGGCACAACAGAATAATTTTAAAAGGTTAAAGAAACCGAATGCTTTGGAAAGACCAGACAGTATCACGAATATACAAAATTTCATCTTAAGTTTACAAGATTTTAAGGGTTTGATGATTAAATCCTTACCCCCATTTTCATGTCTGCTCAAAATCTAATTGCAGCCTAAGCTGAGATCTTTACATCTGTCCTGGTTGCCTACGTGGGCAATTATGGAAGAAAAAAAAAATACAGGATGAAAACTGCTCTGGGATGAATGCTGACAGATTCTTCACAACACATTGCAAGGCTCAAACAGCAGTGGGTTGGAAAAGAGAGAACAATGCATATAGTCAGCTGTGGACCAAAACTAGAGGAAAAAATGTACAATCTGTACAGTGAATTGCATGAAGGTGCCCAGCATCGAGCAACAGACATGCAAGAAAAGCTGAAGTAACAGCGGAGCAGGTCTGCTTAGTTTCTGATAGATGGAGAAAACCGAAAACATTTCCCCACTGTGCAAGTGACATTATCCAGTTGTTATTCAAATATATGGAACAAAATCTAATTAAGGGGGAAAAAAAACCTGATAAACTTCCCAGAAAGCCCTCTACAGAGCTAGTTTTGAAACAAAGGGGATCGATAATTGCTTCATCTCCGAATTAAGACTGAAGTGTACCAACAGTACTTTACCAGCACTTTAAGAATGAGCAAAAAAAGGACAATTTACTTTTTAAAAAGGTGTCCTCTAAATCCAGCATAGATATCAAGTACTCTAACATCCTAGATTTTTTTTTCAAAGCTTTTTGAGAAACACACACAAATAATTCAGATTTAGTCAATTTTATTTACAGTTTGTTTGTACATTTCAGAGCATTACACAATTACATAATTCTCATTTTCTGACCTGCAAACAGATACCTTAAACGGAAATATTTTTTAAAAAATGAAGTTAGATACATCCAAAATGCAACAATTACACATCTGACAATTCACAAAGTGTAATTAACTAGGACGTATCCTAAGAATTTAGGAACAACCAGTCAGGAGAAAATCTGACCAAATTTCATCAATCAATTATTTACACATTCAAAACAAAGCCTCTCTTAATCTAAAACTCCAGGCAAATGGCCTGAAAGACTTCTTCAGGAAGAAAGACCAGAACTTATGATTCACACCTATGCAGCATTAACAGCCCTTGATCCCAAACACTGAGCAATTTCTCAGCTTTGTCTTAGAGCTACAGGCATCACTCTCAGCTTCTCATACCCTGAAGTGTTAATATTTGTGCCCCCATGTGCATAGAAAGGCTGAGTGTTTAAGAAGTGGTCACTAAGATAAAACCCCATTTAATCTGGTCTTTAATTTTGTGAATTTTTCTTCCTTAAAAACTTCAGCACATCTTCTAATGCCATTTAAACTGGCCTTCGTGGATCGGGGCACGCCTCTAAGATGTTCTTGCGCGCATTGAACCAATTTGCACTGGCCAGACTAAATACATCAGAAAGTATTTGAAATCATGTTTAAAGACCATTTAGACAAGGCTTACGTTTCTACACTTCCCTGATGGGCCACCTAAGAAAAGAAAAATAAAATATCACAGCTACTACTTTCACCCCTTGTGTCAACCCTTTGCCACACAGCAACTTGGTACATACTGGGTAGAAACTACTAAAAAATTCCCTGCAAATAAGCTGCCTTTCAGCTGAGGCTATGGCTCCTATGCATTGGGTGTTTGAGGAGTTTTTTCTTTAAAAAAAATTCTCACTTGAAAAATACTGAAATTCTCACTTTAGGCTAATTTTGATTGCATGTTCAATTTGTTTAACTTCCATGAAACCGCTACAAATGGAACAACTTTAGTATAAAAAGAGCATCCAACCGACTGCAACTTCTGCCTCGGCAAGTCCTTCATGGTAGTCCTCTAACTAGGCTATGAATTTCGTGGAGCCTCCAGATTTCTTGCCTACCTTACTCTCCATGTTCACGTTTCAAACTGTGTCAGCAGGGCCCGAACTTCGGGAGTCAGCTGCTTAGCAGCCTTGGCTGCCTCTGTGACGGCCTTGCGGTAAAGACCCTTTCTCTTCTTATTAAAGCGCGACTGGAAGTTCTCTAAAAAGGGGGATAGTTGTGAAAGAGCAAGAATAGACGTTGTTGGGGAGCCAAACCATGATATACAAGCCTCCTGGCGAACTAAAAGACCGTTATCTTTCCGGCTCACAGTTATGGTCAGGATACGGGCTGGCCACCAAGGGAAGCCATAAATTTTGGCCCAAACAATGTCCCCTACACATATGGTCCTGCCATCTGGTGTAACACATTTAGAGACTTTTTTGGAAAAGACTTTCATTTTCAAGGAATTACTGAGCTTTTTCTCTTCCTTCGAAGAGGAGGAGGAGGAAGAAGGTGCATGCATGCTGCCTGGAGGAAAATCAAAGCTTTCAGTAGAGCTACACTCAGAGTTGGTAGATTTCAAATCATCTGTGCTATCACTACTACAAACTGATGCACTGGAAGAGTCAGATTTCTTTTGATTAAGGGTCATGTAAACCGTTATATTGCTTTTGCTGCCTCTCTTGCCCAATGTCTGGTGTTCATCCTGATCAACAGTTACATGCACTTCACTTGTGTCCTGAACCTCACTGCTGGCCTCTTCAGGGCCTTTTGAGGGGCTCTGATTTTCTGAAGGGGCCTCACCTGCTGAGCGGGTGGAGGAGCAGCGAGACTGCGGCTTAGTTGCCATCTTGCCACTCCGTATTTTCTCAAGTCCTGTCTTGAGAGAAGAGTCATTTTCTTCGTTCCGATATCTTTGTGGCTTTAAACGCAATCGGGGCGGGAGGGAACCTGAGCTGGTGTTCTGAAGACGCCGTGTGAAGTGGACCTTTGAATGTGCATTTTTGGAAGAGGAGGTTGCACTCTGCTTCTTTTGTGCCTTTTCTTTGGCCATTTTCAAGACTTCCCGAGCTTTTGCATGATCCATGTTTTTGCTCTGGAGAACTTTTTTTGTATTTAACTGCGCTTTTGAAGTATTTGCTTGTGCAGTAACTTTAACTACTCTGCTTCTGCTGTGGGCAATATTTGAAACCTTGACCACAGCGTTCCTTTTCTGGCTTTCATTTTGGCTTTTTCCATCCACCTTATGGTCAGTCTTAAGTTTTTTATTCACAGTAGTCACACTCTCGTTTCTTCGTTTTTTATTATCCTCATATTTGGAAGAGTCACTTGCATTGCCACCTTTTTTTATTTCCTTTTTTTCTGCAACAACACTGTTTTTGCACTTGTCACATAAGACCTGTCGGGGTCGTAGTTTGATAGCATTCATAATAGAAGTGGGCTCCTCCCTGTACATTTTACGCTTGGGCCGCTTTATTTTCCGGGGCGGAGGCTGAGGTATTGACTGGTTATATGTGTCCCTGATAAACAAAGGAGGAGGATATGGCGCTCCCTCATGGAAGAGAGGAGGTGGTTTAGAAGTCCATAGGCTTTTAGCTAAGCTTGGTTCTGATGGCTGCGTGAGAGAAGAGTCATCGGGGACTGCAGCATTAGATTCACACTTCACCTGTGCCTCATCTTGGAATGGTTTACTTTGGAGCTGCATGGCTTCAGGTTTATCCTTGTATTCCCTTTTAGGAAATATGGTCACAGGGATTCCGTGGGGTCCAAACCTTCAAGAGAACAAAAAAAAATTAAAGGTTTGAGGGATCTTTTGCTGTATTTATTAAAAAGCATTTTAAAAGCCCTCTACATAACTACCATTCAAAAAACACGAGTTCTGGACAAAACTGAAACATTATACCAAGTCTTAAGCTATGTTTTGAAAAAGCAAAACATCAAAACCAAGTCAGCATCCAACACAGAACACATAACTTCACTTACATGGGTTTCTATTGCGTCAACAACAACCCTTGAAAACATATCCAAGAACATTGCCAGGGACAGCACTTATACTTCTAGAAAACTCTTACAAATGCCAAGTTCATACTCAGCAAGTTACCCCATCAATTCCAAGTCTATTCAAGATAGATTTCTACACCAACTCCATTTATATGAGCAAGGAAGGCATTTTCGTTAACTTTTACAGAATTCTTCAGTTTGTGGCATAGCACAAAAGCCTGAACTTATGTTAAATTTCAACCGAATATACAACGTGTAAATACTGGCATTTAACAGCACTGTCATTCTTCACATCAGCATCCACAGAAGATTACTGCTTGACCACCTGATGTATTACAGCCTAGAGCTTGGAGTTTGGGTTCCTTCTGGCAAAACTACCCTTATAATTTCAATACAGTACAAATAATTTTCTTCTGTTCTGCAAAAAAAACTATTTTAAAACATTGTCTATTTTTCTGCAGGCAGCTCTAGGCATTCTAAGATCTCTACCACCCTGTTTGACACACATGAAACTCCATTAAGACTTATACGTTAGTTTAACTTCCCTATTCTAAGTAGAATGTTGTTCAACAGGTAACCGATATCTTCAGCAATATGTTATGCTAAAGGAAATGACATCAGTTTACAAGGCATAATGCTAATCCTCTGGGAGAAAAGTTAAATACATTCATATTTCATCAATATATCTTTCTATCCACTGAACACAAAGGGAAGGATTATAAAAGCCTGTTTAACCATTCTCATGTCCCACATTAGAATCTACAACCTGCAGTACCAACCTTACAAAGTCCTCATGAGGCATTCAATCTCTCTGCCCACTCCAGTTCCAACACACACAGATGTGTTTGGCTTACATTAGGCTATATTTGAATAGTTTAACTTGCTGCAGTAAGAACACGATAGACAAGGTTGCAATTCAAACATTAAATCACCCATTCCAAATCACTGAACACCATTTGTATTTAATCTCACATGACCTGAGAATGAAGTAATTAACCAAGACCTGTCCTCAGGTTAACACTTGTTCACATTGCTGTGCAGGTGTTAAACCACAACACCTGAACTGATGGAACTGAAATTTGTTATCTGTGGTTGCCACTAAACTGAAAGTAAATGCAGAGTGATGGTCTAACTTCCATTCACATTCCTGCAATAAACATGCAGTTTAGACAAATATCTACAGGCTGGCTTCTTATTTTTTCAAAGTTTGTATTGAAAAAAAATGTCATAACACATTAGAATATTCTTTACATCATCACAAGCAAAAGCCTTCACTTATTTGTCCTACTTATCTGTTAAACTCTTTTCATACTTTCAAGTTGTAACTGAAGCAAGCAATCCATCCAAAACTAAATTATCCATCCCATTTGCACTTCATTATACCCAGTCAAGTGACAACTCAGCCAATTTTGTCATCAAAAATAGATGAAGTTGTACACTTGACAACTTACAGCTAGGAAGCACCTAGTGCTGTTGTTACCTTCCCCTAGATACTATAACATTCATACCTTTGAAACCTGGAACCCAGGCAAAGCCTGGTCTACTAGCTGCTGGAGAACTATTCTGTTTATACAGAGTGACAAGCATCCTATGCCACAGAACACCTTACTACCCCACAAAAGTTCATTCCTCAGAGTTGGGCCCACTCCATTTGGACTCCAGATGTCCTCCCTGAGATAAAAATCAAAACTAAATGCAGCTTGCTGCACTACTAAGGGCTACAGCAAATTCTGAGCACTGAACTGTGGATCTGTGCATCTCTCTAGCCTGCAGTCCAGCATTAATTCAGAAGATACTCATTACTAGGTTTTAAGTTCCCTAAAGTCTCAGAAGTCCACCAAGAGTCAAGAAATTATTTTTCCACAAACGCTGTTCCTTTCACTAAGGATGACAAATAATTTGTTCAAATCTGAGTACAGGATTTACAAAAAAAACCAAACACCTCTGTCAGCTGACAGCAATAAAACCAACAACATTTTCAGTGTTACTTGCACTAAGAGCTTTGGTTTCTTGTACAGCAAGAAGATGTGGATCCCACTGTTCACCACCTGATGAAGATTTACAAGAGTTGGGGAAGCAGTTAATTGAGCATAGGAATAGAATAAGAACCCCTAGATGGGACAAGAACTCTGTTTAAAGATTTCAATCCCCAGTGAACACCAGGAACACCACTGACACCACAAAGCCATTTAAGACCACGACCGCACCTTAGACCATCTTCTCCTTCAAGAAGCTCCACAATATTTAGTCCAAAAAGCTGAGAAATAGGACTGCTGATGTGGATATTTTAATATATAAGATGCAAACCTACATCATTAAGGCACAAAACCATTCATACTGAATTCCTGAGGCTACAGTCTCTCACAAAAGGTAATGTCTTAATGAACGAGCTAGAATTTGCTGACCCTATCTACCTAGAAATTAATGAGTTGTAAGATTACAGACTATTCACTGATGTCTGGTGCCAGTTATGCAAGAGCAAATAGGAATGTGATTTATGTGAACTGCACATCAATACATAAAGACATTAGAAGCAAAGATGCAGTTCACGTGAAGTACAAAATAAATTGGGCACACCCAAAGACTGATTATTACTTCCAAGAGCTGAATGTCTTTTTTTTTTTTTTTGCCCCATTCTAGAACAGGTTATGCCCACACTGTTTTTATATGATTGTTAACTCCTCCTTGGTGAAGTTCTCCAGCTGTCCAACTTGGAAGAATTATACACAAATTTAAAAGAGAAAGTGAGCAGAAAGATTTAGGAAACAAACAGTAAGCAGTACAGAACAGTGTACAAAGATGGAAAGAAGGTAATAAGCACAAAGAGAAAGCTGACAGTGGTGTATCTTAACAGAAGCAGCAGAATGAATGTGACCAGAACAAACTTACTGAAAACTACACATGGCAGAGCATCTAAATGTTTTAATAGTTATGAGCTGAAGTATTTAGTGTTTAAACACTGCAAGAGATTGCCTCTCTTCATTCTCGCAAAGTACATTTTTTGAATGCATTGATCCTGAACCTGAAGTATCACCTGTCTTACTATAATATTTTCTTCCAAAATTCCAGAAAATACTATTCTTGGGAAGGCATAAGACAGTGCCTTCATTATAAAAAATAAATAGTATAAAAGTCAAGGTGTGTCTAAGTTCCAGCTGTGCCCTGTATAGCCCACCACTGCACCATATTACCTCAGAATATTACATCATGTAATAGAAGGATTCCTTGATGAGGATCTGAAATTGAATTGTTAAGAAAAAAAGAGTAAGAAATGGGCATTTAAACAGAGATTAAGGCACCTCTGCTTCACACCTATTCAGAATTAGAATCAGTTGTCCATGTTGCCAAGATTCCTCTCTCAAAAAAACTGTCCTGACCCTTTTTTACTCTGAAAAGTTCTCTCTAACAAAGATGGGTAAAACTCAGTGTAAGAACAATATTTTTAAGAAGGTTTACAAATAAACACAGCAATCAGTAGGATCTAATCATCCATACATCTGATACCTCGTGCCAGATATAATTCCTATATACATCCATGTTAAAGGCAAATAATAATCAGTCATTGAGTAACAGGCTAGATGAGCTGCCCTCCGACAGGCCAGTTATCTTTACAACACAAACAACTTTCAATTAACTTGGGAGATTATACAGAGACAGAGGTGATAAGAACACTTATGGTTTTATTTCCACGTCTTATCAACTGGAAGTTAATGAATGAGAAGCCATGGCATCTTCTGTGATTGTGCAGAAGCTACTTTTTATATCAGAACTAGAAGTTGCAGAGATTTGCATTACAATATGTAAACCTAAGTACTTCAAGCAAACTAAGACAACACTTTTCACATCTAAATCCTATAGCAGAATTATTATAATGAAGACATATTACTGTTCAATTTGTATGCAAAACAGAGCATGGTTTAAAAGTATTTTTAAATAAGCAGGAGGTAAGGAACAAATACCAACTAAATGCACAACTGCATGTACATAAACACCTAAATGATGCATCCTGGGGCAAAGCATCTGCATCACTATATAAAGTCTCCAGCTCTCATCTTTAGTCTCCAATGTTTAAGTTTTACCTTTCTCAATTAAAAAAAACAAAACAGTAAAAGTATATTTTTTCTCCCAAGAAGAGCCAAAGGAAAGAATGTGCTGAAAGGGTTCAGAAGTATTTCACGTTTGTCTGCAAACACTGGGTTTATGTCAACACAACACAGTAGCTTCTAGTGTTGGGTTAAATCAATTCTGTTGTAAATGATTCTGATCAAAATTCTCATCTTCACCATTAAGTCAGACTACAGCAATCATCAATTACCTTTCAATACATTACTCTTGTTCAAGCTGTATTACCAGTAGGTATTTTGTAGCAGCCAAGAGAAGAAACAATCAAAGCCATTTTCATCTCATGGATTAAGGCTCAATGATTCTGAATACTGAGAGTATAACAACATGCTCAGGTAACACAGGGCTAAGTATATTTGTTTCACGTGTACATACAAGCTGGGGGCTTAAATCACAATAGTTGATGTAATGTACAATTAGATCATAGCTATTTCACTACAAAGTATTTCAGAACCCAGGAAAACAGTCTGTATCCAAAACACAGATTATGCAGTAACCTATTTTTAATAAGGGATTTAGTTGGCGTGATAAAGCTTGTTGTGGCACACACTGCTTTTAGTGGTAGGCACCTAACTGAAAAAGCATACACATAAGCCAAGTTATCAATTCAGAACTTTACTTACCTCCCAAGCAATGTAACAACAGAATA